AATATAACATTTGGGAGAAAAGATACAAGCCAAGAGACCCGCCCCAGAGGCCAAGATGGAGAAGATCTCCACAGCCACCATGGACTTCCCTTTGGTGCTCAGGTAGGTGGGGAGGAAGCTGATCCAAACACTGCAAAAGACCATCATACTAAAAGTAATGAACTTGGCTTCATTAAAGCTATCGGGCAATTTCCTAGCCAGAAAGGCCACTGTGAAACTCACGAGGGCCAAAAAACCCAGATAGGCAAGAACAGCATAAAATATTGAAGTTGAGCCTTCATTACATTCCAAGATGGTCTCTCCTACTAAGGAGTGGAAGTCCATGTTGGGAAATGGGGGAGAGGTTACTAGCCAGGTAACACAAAGAACTGTTTGGACCAGGGGACAGACTAAGACAATGGAGTTAGTCAGTGGCTTTCCTAAGAGTTTCCTTGTCTTGTTCCCTGGTTTGGTAACTATGAAGGCCAGAACCACCATGACAGTTTTTGCCAATACAGAGGAAACTGCAAGAGAAAAGAAAATAGCAAAGGTAGTTTGTCGGAAGAGACAGGTGAGCTTCCCAGGTTGACCAATGAAGAGGAAGGAACAGAGGAAGCAGAGCAGGAGGGAGACCAGGAGAATGTAGGTGAGATCTCGGTTGTTGGCCTTGACAATCGGAGTGTCACGATGCTTAAGAAAAATTGCCAGAACTCCCAAGGTGGTCATGGAAAGAAAAAGTGAGAGTGAAGCTAAAGCATATCCCAGGGGGTCTTGATATGCAAGGAAGTGGATCTTCTTGGCAATGCAGTGGTCCTTGTCCTCATTGGGATATTGGTCTTCTGGGCAAGGATCACAGCGAGCTGCATCTGCAATCAAGAGTCACTTTGCATATCATGCAGTATCAAAAAGGGTAAATCATCCTCCAATATTGATTATTCTGGAGATAGATTAGATTGAGGCAAGGATGTTTTCACTATTTTGACTGAACCTCTCTGCTTTGCGTCGCACCATTCAGACTATTTTTATTTTTTATATTGCAGGGAAAGACAGGTGAATATAGTTAGATGAATCTTCCCTGTCATGGGCCAGAAAAATCAGGAGATGCAGGCAGTTCAAAAGGGTCTAAAGAATTTTTGCATGCTTAAGTTCTCTACACAAATTTGAACTACCAATGACCAAACAAATTAGTAGAAGATAAGAGTCCAAAGAATTCAAGGTGGGCTGGACTCAAATCTCTTGTGGGCCCAAAGTGATTCGTGATTGATAATTTATCTGACTCCTCCTTCATGCTCAGCCTGCTCATCTTCTACAGACCCTTTCTCCAACAGGTGTATCAATCACCTGGGAGACTGATAATCATAATAGAAGCATGCTCTAAAAAATGAACATTAAAGTTTGAAGCTCACACCCTTCACAAAAAGTTTGGTAGCTGTTTTTTCTGGATGTGGCCAGATATAACATTCAGAATATAAAGTCTAGTATGGTACACATGAATTCTGCCCTGAAACTACCCTGCATTAAATTGCCAAGGAACAGAAAAGGTGGCCAGGGGGCCAGGACAATTTAGATCCATCAGTTCAGAGGTTCTGCTGAAAAGCATGAATAATTTGAAAAATGTCAATCTACCAAAAAAGTTGATGTTTGTTTCCACTGAATGGTTTCCTTGGTCCTGGAAGATCTACATTGAAAGTGTGCTCTACCTGTCTGATTAGATGTGGTCCCTTCTGGACAAGGGGCACATCGGTAGCAGCAAACCTGCTCTCCCTTTGGAACTCTTCTCCTCTCTCCTTCCTGGCACCTTTTCACACCACACCTGGCAAAGGGCACCTTCTAAAAGAGAAAAGAGAAATACTATAGGTGATCCAAGTTTTCAATATGCTTCACTCATTCATTTGTACACTTCTGTATTCATTATAAATATGTCTTCAAAAATATGGTTAACTAGGGCTCTCAGAAACCAGGAAAAGCTACAGGGGGATTAAGGCTATTGCCACTCCAAATCACTCCTGGATGCTAGAGATTGGAATAGGATCTTGGCATGCAAAAGTAGTCTTGTGAATTGAGCTATAACTTTTCTAAAACAAACAATCATGAAGATCCAAATGAATGGGAATGGTCCACGGAAACCACTGTTGGCTGCTCTAACTGCATCATGGGTTTCAAGCAGAATTACTTCCTGATCTGGTGGCAGGATAGATACCAGACACAGATGTCCTCTCCAGAGCAGGCCTATCATCAGTTTACACTCTGTTGATGAAAGCCCAGATGCGCTGGGCAGGCCATGTTGTAAGCATGCCAGATCATTGCATCCCTAAACAGCTCTTCTATGGTGAGCTGTCTCAAGGAAAGCGATCGCATGGGGGACAAAAGAAGTGATACTAAGACATGTTGAAAGCCTCTCTTAAGTCCCTGGATATTAACACCATCTCTTGGGAACCTCTGGCGCATGATCGACCGACATGGCACACCTTGGTGTACCAGGGTTGCCAGACATATGAACACAGAAGTACAATCTTGGCACAAGAAAAGCGAGTACTCCGCAAAGCCAGAGCTGCAAATCCTGAAGTAACAGTGTCTACATTTCTTTGTTTAGTATGTGGCAGAACATTCCGTGCTAACATCGGTCTTATTAGCCACCTACGGACACATCGTTGATGGCCCATAACCCACAAGATGTCAAGGTCTTCATCGAAATCGACGGACAAACAACACTTCCTGATCTCAACTCTTTTTGAGCTGTCACAAATCAGACCTCAATTATATTATATGAACCATTTTCATCAAATGGTTGCTAATTTTTTTGATCCAGCAAGCTGTTTTCCAGTAAGGAGGATGCCTTGAATCCCTAGAAAAAAATGAATCCTTTGCTGAATTTATTTGACTTTCCAGCTCACCTTTTTTGTCCAGACAATTGCATTGGCGTTAATAATGAAGTCCTGGCCTTGAGGAGCCCCAGGATCTATTTGTCCAACTTTCACAGGGACAAAAGATAGATTGGGGAAGAGAACCCAGTTGAGAAGATCATAACGACCAGATCCCAGTCCATTTTTTGAGAAGGAGATTTCATCTCCTGCACTGTTGTTGAACTGGACATTCCTCAAATAGGGAAGAAGCTGAATGAAAAAAGACATTCAGAATTTGGAGTAATAGGTAGAAAACCACAAATGAGAACTGCACAAGGGGAGTTTCTTCTCTAAAGATCTGTGGAATAGATTAAAAAAAAACTCACAGAAATTACCTGCCATGACTGGAAATTTGAGATCTTCTTTCCAAGTCTTAACATGGCTGGTCGCCCTCTGGATCCATGCAGTGCATGCAATGCATGTGCCACAGCATAAATGGCATTGTAGATATTGTAACTTTCACCTGACATGCTTGTTTCAAACACATAAGAGGGCAGATTTTGTAAATTCTCCTTTCCTGTACATGGTTTTCTCCCCTTTGAAGGAATCTTGCTTAGATTGGAGATCTTGCAGTGAAATGCACTTTCCCACCATAGTGGGAGAAAAAAGTCCCCTTGTGGGTTCAAAGGGTCTAAAGACATGAGAACACGGTTGAATTCTGAGACATCCCCGGGTTGGTCCCTAAAATGCAAAGCCCCATGGAAAGGCTTTATAATTTGTAATATGTATTGAGAGTTCATCACATTAAGTTTCCAATTGGATGTAAAGATCCAGACTTTCCGAAATGATGCATTTCTCCATGTTTCATAAGCATAGATAATCACCTGTACATTTGTATTAGTACTGGAGTCTCCAAAAAAAATAATCACTTCAGCTTTTGACCAAGTGTTGAAAATATGGTGTAATTTCGACTTTGGAAAAACATGGAAGTCAAGTTTCATTATTTCAGTGAAGGCCAGGCAGATCTCCTTCTCCTTGAGCATCGGTATCAGAGATGAGATGAAACGTTCTCCACTGTCATCATCAGAGGCCACCAGCCCAACCCAGTTCCACTCGAAATGCAGGAACAGCTGGACTAAACCCCCATACTCAGGAAATCCCTTGGGGTTAATCCAGAAAAAAGAAGGATAAGCCATTTTTTCTCCCTGAGAGAACTCAAAGCCAACACCAAGCTGGAGAAAGTGAGATTCTTTTTTAAAAGAGAAAGTAAAGTTATTCATGACAGCTGTCAAAAAAAGCAAACACAATTCTAGGCTGCATTAACAGAGGAATAGAATCAAGATCATGTGAAGGGTTAATACCACTTTATAATGCATTGGTAAGACCACAATTGGAATATTGCATCCATTTTTGGTCTCCATGATCTAAAAAAGATGTTGAGATACTAGTAAGAGCACAGAGAAAGCACAATAAAGATGATTAGGGACTGGAGGCTAAAACATATGAACAACATTTCCAGGAATTGGGTAGGTCTAATTTAATTTAGGACAGTGGTTCTCAACCTTTCTAATGCCGCGACCCCATAATACAGTTCCCCATGTTGTGGTGACCCCCAACCACTTATACATCACCGGGTGCCAGGGGCATGGCCAAAAAAAAGGGGAAAAAAATGGCGGACAGCCTTGTTTGGCGACCCCCGTGAAATGGTCGTTCGACCCCAAATGGGGTCCCGACCCACAGGTGGAGAACCACTGATTTAGGACGAGGAGTGATATGATAGCAGTCTTCCAATATTGAAGAGGCTACCCCAAAGAAGAGGGGCTCAACCTATTCTCCAAAGCACCTGAAGGCAGGACAAAAAGCAATGGATGGAAACTAATCAAGGAGAGAAGTAACCAAGGAGGAATTTTTGACAGCTAGAACAATTAATAAATGGAACAGCTTGCTTCCAGAAGTGGTGAATACTCCACCACTGGAAGTTTTTAAGAAGAGATTGGACTGCCATTTGTCTGAAATGGTATAGGGTTTCCTGCCTGAGCAGGGGGTTGGACTAGAAGACCTCCAAGATTCCTTCCAACTCTGTTATTCTATTATTCTGTTCTGTTATGACCTTTAAGGGTTTTTTCCCCCCACCAGTCAGGTCAACTCATTGTGAGTGGCAAGCGTCATCTTCCTCACCTCTGACAAACATTTATGGAAATCAGGAAGTAATTCCTTTTTCAGAATTATATCAAGATCTTCTCTTAGAGAGAAGCTCCCTGAAGATGGGCTCAAAAGACAGAACCTCTGGTACAGCTGGACCGACCCAAATTGGACCTGCAACATTATCCTGGGACACGTATATTTGCCTTCATTTGTGATTTATATCAATATCTCTTTTTGGTTATATAAAAATGTATCTTGACATGAAAAATATAAAAATCAATTGAATTGCACCATGGATTATTTGTTATATATCTCTGATGTGTTCCCCCACCCAACACCTTTGGTTTCATCATTGACTTTTGTTATAGTTGTGTTTTTTGTCCACTCCATGGTGTATTTAATAGAACCTCCTTACCTGTGGGACCTTGAAGATGCTGAAGATGGAGGCCATCAGTCTTGAGGATTTGGAGTTGAGACCTCCGATGACAGAGAGCAGAGGGTCCTGTCGGTCACATTTATAACCTGGAACCATTTGGTCTCGGGTGGAGAGCAGGGAGAGGCAGATTAAAGAACTATTCCTCTCATTCTGGTTATTTTCATAGATGTGGAAGCCAAGGGTGATGTTGGGCAGAAGAACAAGATCCTTGTTGACTTGTTTAACTGCAAACATCAAAGCCAGGAATGTCTGGAAGTTTTTGGGTATGAGTCTATAGTGAGGAAAAAAAAACATTGGGGAATATTACAAGGAAGCTTGTTCTCCTGGTAGCATTTGCATTGTCATATTTTTGGTGTCATTGAGTTTTTGCATTTAAATATTCCTTGATTAAACCTCTATGGCTTAGTAAGAAAGGGGAAAAGCTCTCTCTCCATGTTTGCCACAAAGAAGAGGGAGTCAACCTATTCTGCAAAGCACCAGAAGGCAAGACAAGAAACAATGGATGGAAAGTAATCAAGGAGAGAAGCAACCTGGAACTAAGGAGAAACTTCCTAACGGACAGCTTGCCTCCAGAAGTTGTGACTACTCCAACACTGGAGGGTTTCAAGAAGAGACTGGACAGCCACCTGTCTGAAACAGTATAGGGTCTCCTGCTTGAGCAGGGTCCAAGGTCCCTTCCAACTCTATTATCCTATCCTATCCTATCCTATCCTATCCTATCCTATCCATATCATGGACCATTTTATACGATTCTATCACCCTCCCTTCATTTTGCTTCAGTGATTGTAACTGAATCTCTCTTGGAGCAGCTGCTTCAATTCTGTTAACCATTGCTGACCAGAAGACTCCAGATGGAATCACAGCACAGATTGACTGAAGGCCATTATTCATGAGCTCTGCTGGTTCTGAAACTGATGAATTTTTGGCAGTACCCCACACTGGAAAAGGACTGAACTTTCAGGTTTTATGTCCAAATTAATATCACAAGTCAACTTCTCCACTAGGCCAGCAGAATCTCTAAGTGGTAGTCTGTCCCACTTTTATATAGTTTATAATTATCATGATGATAAGACTTCTGGAAAGACTGGGCATTCTAGCCCATTTCTTCAATTTGGCTCTTTATTGAGAAAAGGACAAAGATTTGAAGAATCCTAGAGCAAATATTTCTGAAAAGAGGCCCTGAATCCAAAACAAAGAAAACCATCTATAGGTTCTCCTGCTTGAGCAGGAGGCTAGACTAGAAGGTCCCTTCCAGCTCTGTTCTGTTCTGTCTGTTCTCCTACATCTTTCCCCTCCAGGTGAAACTTACGAGACTGTATTAGTAAGCATTAATGGGTCATTTTGAAAATCTGACAGGCTGGGGAACATAAGAGCTGTCAGAGGTAAATTTGCACCAATAATCAGATCACCAGGCCTGTAAAATTCCCATTGATCCTGAAAGTTTAAACCCTTTTGTGGCACACAAATGGTTTGAGTCTTCTTAGTAGTCGTTGGAGGCAGGAGCCAGAAGAGCACCAGCAGCAGGAGAGGCAGACTGGTCATTCTTGTCACCTTTCCTCTTAGATCAGAAATCCAGGTTTGTGCAGAAGCTCAGCTGCAGGAGACACTTGAAATCTCAGCAAATTTACATAGTTGAGACTGCCTGGATGGCCTCAGGGTAAATATATCTGATATCTCTTTATATTAACACATTTGTATTTTCCTCCCATCTTTCCTATTCTGAAATTGGACCATATGCTGTATTTTATCTTAATGATAAGGTGACAAGATTAATCAATCAATCAATGAACTACAATTATATCAATCATGCTTTCTCTTACCTGTGTTTGGGCTTTGACTTGAAGGCCAGCTGAGTCTCGCAAAACCCTGAAGTTAGCTCTTTGGAGGACAAGGCAAGGTCCTCCATCACTGGGAGAACCCAGAGCAGTTTGTACCTTGGAAGATTTTTGTGGGTTGAAATCCACAGGGGATACATTAAGAATTACTGTTCTTCTGATAATTGCGAGGAAAAGCAATTGTTCTACCTACTCAGCAATAGATATTGTTGGAACATCAGATAGTGAAAAACATGTTTGTGTCTCTTGTGGGTAATCCACAAAGCAGATGGACTTGAGAGTCAAAGTGAAGTTGAGGTTTTGATCTACCTGAAAGTGAACACCTGCACACAAGATGGAGCTTGCCCTGTGCCATCATATGTTCAGATAGAATGGTTGCTGATGGGGCAGGGGGGCAGTCAGCTGTACCCTAGGAAGTGTGAGCAATCATACCAATGTTTAGATGAAATTGATTGATTGATTGATTGATTGATTAAATTTATATGACCACCCATCTCATGTGAAGTCATTCTAGGTAGCATATAACAATCCAGTAAAAGCTTTAAATAAGGAAGATAATCATTGTTTAAAACTTTTATATAATAATTATTAAAAGGAATTAGATATTATACAACCAGAAAAAGAGAATAATAGATGGAGGGATCTTAATAATAATAAAGCAAGCTCATGAGTTCACCTGACTCCAGGGGTCCCTTTATTTACAGAGTAGATGACAGTTGTGACGTTGTGTCCCTGCTCTGCTCACAGTTATTTATTGCCTTTTCAGCACCTGAATAGACTACTAATGCACTCTATGTGGGGCTGCCTTAAACAACATTTGGAAGTTTCAGCTGGTGCCAAATGAGGTAGTACAGGCAGTTATACATGGTCCTAGACCAGGGCTTTTCAACCTTTTCACCCATTGTACCACTTTTAGGACATGGCAACATCCGAGTATCACCAGTCGCCTAGCAAGGTGTCAAAAACTTGATGACCCCCCCAAAAAAAGAAGGAAAAAAGCGATGAAGTACAGGTAGTCCTCGACTTACAACAGTTCACTTAGTGACTGTTCAAAGTTACAATGACACTGAAAAAAGTGTCCCCCAAGGCACAGCCAAGCAAGACACCTGCCTGCCCACCTGGCGGCGCTCTTCCTCCTGTCTGAGGTTTTATTTTATTTATTTATTTTTAAAATTTATAAGCCGCCCCACTCCAGGAGGACTCTGGGCACTAACAATAAAAACACATAAAACATAACAAAACAAACAGTACAAGAACAGTCATCCAGGGGTCAGATTTTATAAACCCCAGGCCTGCTGGAAAAGCCAGGTTTTAAGCAGCTTGCCGAAAACCAACAGGGTGGGAGCGGTCCTAATCTCCGGGGGGAGCTGATTCCAAAGCGTGGGCGCCATCACAGAGAAGGCCCTCCTCCGCGGCCCCGCCAAATGGCACTGCTTGGCCGACGGGACCCGAAGGAGGCCCAGCCTGTGGGATCTAACCGGACGAAGGGAACTATGAGGTAGTAGGCGGTCTCGCAAATAGCCTGGCCCTGAGCCATATAGGGCTTTAAAGGTAATAACCAACACCTTGAATTGGACCCGGAGACCAATAGGCAACCAGTGCAGCTCACGGAGGATAGGTGTAACGTGGGTGTATCGAGGAGCATCCACTATCAGTCACGTGGCTGCATTCTGGACCAACTGTAGTCTCCGAATACTTTTCAAGGGTAGCCCCATGTAGAGCGCATTGCAGTAGTCCAGGTTTTCATTGTTGTGAGCATTTCTGTTGAGGATTGGCAGCAGGAGTGGGGGAGTGTTTGGTTTTTATTCCCCCCCCGTCTTCTGGGTGGTTGCAGCAGGTTTTGGTCACTTCACAAGACCCTGGGACACTGTGACTATCATAAATATGTATCAGTTGCCAAGCATCTGAATGTAAATTACAAGACCCTGGAGATGCTGCAATATTCCAGCTGATTGGCACTTCTGGGCTCAGCAGAAACATCAGGATCAATGCTGCTTTCCAGCTGATCGGTGCTTCTTCAGGGTTCAGCAGAAGCACCAGGATCAGTACCGAGCTCCAGCTGTAGCCTGGCACTGATTCTGGTGCTTCCACTGAGCTCTAACAGCCCCAAAGAAACGCCAATCAGCTGGAAAGTGGCACTGATCCTGGCGCTTCCGCTGAGCCCTGACAGCCCTGCAGCTCCAGCCGTCTCTCAGGCTTGTTCAGTGCTGCCATCAGTTCAGCTCATTCCCCTCCCCTGCTACCACTTTTCTAGGATGGTCGCATGCCACCTGCCAGGTGCCAATGTACCACAGCTGGTACCCGTACCACTGGTTGAAAAGCCCTGTCCTACAACACAACATATTATACAACTGCTCCCCAAAGCGCTGGTTTGCTTCCAGATTCAGATCAAGGTGCTGGTTTTGACTTTAATGCCCTATAGGGATGGGATGAGGTCATGTTTAGGTACCTTATCTCCCTGGTTTCATCTATGTGTCCCCTCTAGTCTGCCAGAATGGATGCATTATGGGTCTCTGCAAAATAGTCCCACCTGTTGGGATCCAGGATGGAGGGCTTTTCCACTGTGGCTCCCATCCTCTGCAAGACTTATTTTCATTTATTCATTGATCATATTTTAAACTGTCCATCTCACTCACATAGGGACACTGAGCGGTGTTCAAATAAAATATTAAAAGCATAAAAGCACTATATAAAATGTATAAAGATGCAAATAATGTTAACAATTAATTAAAAGGTGGGAGGGAGTTGTAGCACCCTGAAAGTTATGGGTTGGCATGTTGGCAAAAGGCAGAGGAGACAAAAGAGTCTGGAGGAGAATGAAGAGGCACGGCTGATCCAAGGTTGGGAAGATGCCAGGGCTTTATTTATTAATAACAAGGGGAAAAAAGTTCCAGAGAGAGAGAGAGAGAGAGAGGATTGAAAGACAGACTTGAGTGAAAATATTCTTAGATATTAATAGAAGTAAAGTAGCAATGGTACACCAGTAATAGACATAGTATAATATAACACAGTATAATAGTAATAATTATCAATAGTAATAGAAATATAAGATAATATGCATAGAAAGAACTCACAGACTTATGTTTCTATCTTTCACTTTTGTGTCTTGGATAATTTTTTCAAAATGAAACATTCCCCCAACCCTTATAAGGGTTTATAAACATCTACCTGTCCAGGGTTCAGTGCTTTTGTGGATCTTTTGGGTCTAGGACAATCCAATCAGGCACAGTTTAAAAGAGAATTCATAACATGCTCTCAGGATGCAGTGATTGTGTGTCCTAGGTTTGGGATGGTGTCCTAGTATTTAGGATGAAAATGGTGTGCAGTTTGGCTAATTTCATTAAAAAATAAAGACTGGAAAAGGTGGGTCTGAACGTCCAATCTAAGATCCTTAGAAACTTCCTGACAGTGAGAACAATTAACCAGTGGAACCGCCTGCCTCCAGAAGCAGTAAATGCTCCAACACTGGAAGTTTTTAAGAAGAGACTGGACAGCCATTTGTCCAAAATGGTCTAGGGTTTCCTGCCTGAGCAGCGGGTTGGACTAGATGACCTCCAAGGTCCCTTCCAACTTTATTACTATTACTATCCCGGGGGAAAAATGTGGTTGGCATTGTTAAAAGTCACAGACATTCTCCTTATTGAATGAGCAATCTTCACCACGTTTGATGGGATTTATGAGCAGTATCTAACATTAAGAATACCATCTCAGTTGCTCAAGAAATACTGCAAGTGATGAAAATTTAAGGTAACATTACAAAGCACAATAATTAAAGGCTGAGTTTTTTGGAATAAAGGGGAGAGAGGTATAAGGTTAAACAGAGTACTTTCTGGTTAAAATATTTGTATGTGTGAATAAAATTAAAAGACTTCTTGCAGATCTTTCTAAGTAGGTTACACAGAGTCAGATAGAGTCAACAAAAACAGGAAAACCTCAGCGACATTTTACTTACCATGTGCTTGTTGTGTTTGGACATAGATGGAGTGGAAACTTCTATATTAATCTATACAAACATGACTACATCTTTTCTTACTTTCCTACTTAACTTTCCCCATGAGGTGACTTCTATTGTTCAGATCTGGCCTCAGCACTATAACATAGCATTTGGGGAGAAAGATGCAACTCAGCAGACCAGCCGCAGAGGCCAAGATGGAGAAGATCTCCACGGCCACCATGGACTTCCCTTTGGTGCTCAGATAGGTGGGGAGAAAGGAGACCCAAACACTGCAGAAGACCAGCATGCTGAAAGTAATGAACTTGGCTTCATTAAAGCTGTCGGGCAGCTTCCTGGCCAGAAAAGCCACTATGAAGCTGATGAGACTCAGAAAACCCATGTAGCCCAGAACAGCATAAAACATGATAGTCGAACCTTCATTGCATTCCATCACGATTTTTCCCATCACAGAATGAAAGTCCAAATTACTAAATGGGGGCGAGACTGCCAGCCAGGAGGCACAAAGAACTGCTTGCACAAGGGGACAAGCCAAGACTATGATCAGTTGCTTCCCCAAGAGTTTTCTTGTCCTGTTTCCTGGCTTAGTAGCCAGGAAGGCCACAACCACAGTCAGAGTTTTTGCCAACACAGATGAAATGGCAATGGAGAAGATGATGCCAAACGTGGTTTGTCGGAGGAGACAGGTGAGGTTTCTTGGCTGCCCGATGAAGAGGAAGGAGCAGAGGAAGCAGAGCAGGAGGGCGATCAGGAGGATGTAGGTGAGATTGCGGTTGTTGGCCTTGACAATCGGTGTGTTGCAGTGTTTGATGAAGGCTGCCAACACAAGGATTGTGATCAAAGAGAAGAAAAGAGCTAGACAAACTAAAACAAAGCCGAGTGTATCCTCACAGGAGAGAAAGTTCATGGTCTTGGGAATGCACAGGATGTGGTTCTTGCTTGGGTGCTGGTCTTCTGGGCAGGGGACACACCGAGCTGCATCTGGAAGAACAGGAGCCAACTGGCATTAGTCAGAGAACCAGGGATTCTCTTTGAGGGGAATTGTTCTACAAGTGAAGGAAGTGAAATACCCATGCTCCCCATCTCTTTACTTCTGCTACACACAACACAGAAGAATCCAGTCTCAGTCTCAGAAGATGTAATAGCAGCTATTAACTCTTGAGAGTAATTATTTAATGAATTAATTGATTTGTTTTATTTTATTTTTACATTTTGAAATTCCCATCTCCCACCTCAAGGGACTCTGGGCAATAAAATATTAAAACATATAAAAGTTATATAAAAGTTAAAATGGCTGCTAATAACTTAAAAGAGAATACATTCAACAGACCACTCTTTAAAGTTCTGAATGACTTTCATGTTGATTAGCTCAACTGATTTGCTACCTCATATTTTCTCTAATTCCTCCCATACAGCTATTCCAGATCTTGTTCCTGCTTGAGGGTCTCTTTTAGCAACTTGCCTGTTTGATTAGAAATGGTCCCTTCTGGGCACGAAACACATCCGTAGCAACAAGAAGGCTTCCCCTCTGCAACTTTCCTGGCTTGTCCTGGAATGCAGTGCTTCACACAACGGGAGAAAGGCTTTGTCTGAAAGGAGACAGGTTAGAAGAGGTTGAGGGGAAGACATTGCAAACATTCAGCTTGGCTTCAGGGTCTGCATAAAAGGAGCCCCTCTTCTTCCTTCCACTGAATAGAATTTTCACCACAGCTTCCTCTCAGCTTTCCTTAACCCTGGAAGAAGCATTTAGACCCCACCTGGTTCGCCCACACAATGGCATTGGGGTCGATGCTGAAACCTTCAGCTGAAGGAGCCTCTGGATCAACCCATCCGACTTTCTGCTGAAGGATCGTCATATTTGCAAAGACGACCCAGTTGAGGATATCAAATCCTGCATATTTCATCCCAGTTTCTGAAAAGGAGACTTCCTCCCCGGCAGTGTTGTTGAAAAGGACATTTTTCAAGAAGGCGTGGATCTGGAATTGCAAATCAGGCAAGCAAACAAAAGGTCCATGAAAATGAAGAGACTTTATATAAAGAGATTTTAAATAGGCCACCCTGCCGGCCTTTAAGAAAGCCGTTAAAACTCTCCTGTTCCGGCAGGCCTGGGGCTGATGTCCCCGGGGGAGGGGCGGGATATGATCGGACACGCTGTATGATTGTATTATTTTATTGTTTTATTGTTAGATGATTGTTTTAATTTTGTACGCCGCCCTGAGTCCTTTGGGATTGGGCGGCATATAAATAAAATTAAATAAATAAATAAATAAATAGTGGTATGCGGAATAAATGTTTTACCAACAAAGGAGACTATTTCTAGTTCAGGGATGAAATGTGGGGTCCTTGGTGCTCTCTGAACTTGCTTGTTTTCTTGCAGACGAGGTAACATCATCAATACTGATCATCATCACCATCTAGCATCATCTAGCACTGATGATGTTACCTAAAGTGGGTAATGAAATGTCTGCAAGAAAGAAAAGAAGACCAGAGAGCACCAAGGACCCTAATAAATGTTTTTCTGTATCCAAAGATGAAACAGAGATGGAATTAGCTATTTCTGAAGTTGAACAACCCAGAATTTCCCCAATAGGTTTTTACATGCAATCTCTTCATTTCTTTTACACGGTTATTACATTTCTATTACTTTATATAGTAAGTAACTCAATCTGGTGAACATAGATAATATTCCTTATAATTCCTTCTTATTTTTCCCACCACAATAACATTGTGAGTTTATTATGCACTGCTGCACAGCCACAATTGCAAGTGTGTTGTTAGTTGATGGAGAGAATCACCTTTGATGAATCAATAGACAAACACTAAAAAAAACCCCGAAATTAATCTCCCCATAAATGAAACTTTGAAGGGAGAGAAAAATATCTTGCTGAAAGGACATTTCATTAACTTTGTAAAATATGATATCTGGTTATATCAATGTTACAACTAAGCTGTAGATTGAAACAAAGTTCAATTTCTGGAGCTGCTAGATATTCAGCTTCAAGGATTGAAACTGCAAATTATTCGCAAAGAAAACTAGATGCTTGGGAATATGAATGAGTAAAACTCTTGTTCCGAATAAGTTCTCTACAAAATATTTTCAGCTAAGCTGTTAATCCAAGTAATGAATGAGATGCATCAATATTGCATACTGCTCCAGTTCTGGCAAGTGACATTGGTGTCCTTCTTTGGTACAAAAGTGGTTTTCTTGCCCCTAACCCTAACCCCTGAACCTTGTCTTGATCACCAATCTTACAATCAAACTACAGTTTGTTTATTTATTTCTTTATCTACATTGACTATTTCTGTTCAGATGCTTTCTTAACAAGTCCAGTCTTGGTGTGTCTTTCAGGCTTAAGGATGTACTCACCACATATGTCGCAGAAATTAAATACACACTTTAATGCACATTTCGGCCTATTGACTGAAGTGGGTCCTGATCCTAATAAACTTTGAGGGTTTTTACAGCTAATGAAAGTTTTATATCAGACAGCTACAGTCTTTGACTAATATTGCTTGTGAAGTTCACACTCACTTCCAAGTGTATTATGGGTCTCTCTTTGTATGATTCCTGTTGCAAATGTTCAAGGGGTGTAGGAAGTACTGAAGTATTGGAAATTTTCAAAAGTAGACTAGACAACCATTTATCTGGGATGATATAATGTCTTCTTTGAGCAGGGATTTGGACTAGAAGACCACCGAGGACTCTTCGGCCCTATGATTCAATATTCCAAAACATATCACAGCTGTTCTGTCATGGGCAAGACATTTCCAAATGGAAGGATGACTTCAAAATGGAGCATGCTCTTAATTGATTTCAATATTTGTGGGCTAGCGTTACACAACGTATAAACATGCAGAAGCATGGAGGACACATGTGAGCCTCAAAAAATCCAGAAATGTATAACAGAACTGGTGAGCTAGTGTAAGGAAATCAGCCTAGTTTTAAATACTGGAAAAACCAAAGAGATCATTGTGTCAGAATCCAATTATATTTTATCTCTAGTTATCAACTATGGAAAACCCCATTTCTGCCCTCTCTGGATTCTGTCATACGATGAAGGGAAGGGGGGTGAACAAAGGGGCTTTATGGCCCTCACTTCCTTCGGTACACTTCAAAGAGACTGGATGAGGATACCACCAAAAGGACTAAACATAACAAAGGGGCCATCAGCTTTCATCTACTCCTCTCTGAAGTCTCCCTTCCACCAGCAGTGAGGGAAAAGGGGGGGGGAATGTAACGCCTGGGATTGTCGCTGGAAAGATGGTGGGGTGGGGTGGGGCTGCTGGGGACCCCTTAAAACCTTGAACCGTAGGGCTTGGGCCCCAGGTCATGTCTAGAACGCCTGCAACCCTTTTCTCTTAATAAAGGATGCCTGTTGGAAGAAATATTCCAAGAGTTCTTAAGATGCAAAGTCCTTACACATTGTTGATTTCAGAAAAGGCAGGCACAGCCACACTTCTCTGGGCATTAATGATTCACCTGTGGAGATGGTTACCAGCGTCAAATTCCTGGGTGTGCAGCTAACGAGTAGGCTGACTTGGTCGCTCAACAGTGAGCAACTGCTGAAGCGGGCACAGCAGTGTCTGCATTTTCTGCATCGCATGAGAAAAGCACATTTTCCTTCCCCTGTCCTGACCATTTTCTACAGGGGGACAATCGAGAGCATCCTGTCATACAGCATCACAGTCTGGTTTGGAAGCATCTTTGCTTCAGACAGGAAGGCAGTGCAAAGAGTGATGAGGATGGCCGAAAAGATCATTGGCAGCTCCCCCCTCCCATCCAGGACATAGCACAGAAGCGCTGCTTGAGCAGGGCCCACAAGATTGTCTGGGACCCTACACATCCTCTTCACGACCTGTTTTCCTTGTTACCTTCTAGGAGGGGGCTCCGTGGTATCCGTAACAGAACATCCAGATTCAGCCATTAACCTTGTGAACTCTCCAGTTTCCTCCTTCTGTTATATATTCAAGATGGACAGTATTTAATATTTATTTGCTACACATATGTAGGGATGTGGGTCTATACATATGTTGTTCATGTATGTTTAGGTGTGTGTCATGTATGTGTTTCACTCTGAGAGCGGGCAACTAAATTTCATTTTTGATGTGTGCCGTTGTGCCCACAGTAAAAAAAATGACAATAAAGGTTATCTTATCTTATCTTATCTTATCTTATCTTATCTTATCTTATCTTATCTTATCTAGAGGAATAACAGAGTTGGAAGGGACTTTGGAAGTCCAACCCCCTCTTCAAGATATATCTTGATATTGTACTTTGACAATAAAGGTTGATTTGATCTGATCTTGATACATATCAAGATATATAATTGTCTAGATAGCTCTTAAAATCCAAATTGCTAGGAAAAAAATGTTGAGAATCTGACCAAGGTAAAGACTGCATGATTAACTGGCTACATAATGTTGATTGAACTATTAAAATAGAGAAATAAAAATTCAATGGAAAACTCAGTCAGGTCTCCAGCAACTGGCATAATTAGGGAAAAACAGTATAAGACACTTTTTTTTGCCTTCTTCCAGGTATCATTGCTAGAATAGAAATGAGATTTAAATAAAGGGGGAAAGTATTAGTTCGGATAAAGAGAAGGCAGTGGAGATCATAGGCAAAAGTTTATGAAACTTAAAAGAGTGAAAAGCTGTTTCCTTGACCAGAAAGGAAGAGTTACCTGCCAGGGCTTCACAGAGAGGTGAAGGTGTGGCTTCTTTCTGCCTCTCTTCAATGACTGTTGTGATTCCCACATATACGCAGCATGCAATGCGTGTGCCACAGAATAGGCAGCATTGTAGATACTGTAGCTGAAACCGGTCATCTGTCCATCAAAGACAGAGACCGGGAGCGTGTCCAGATTCTCCTGCCCTGTGCAAACCCTTCGGCCGTCAGGTGAGGCCAGACCTGCCTTTGAAACCTCACAGTCAAATACAACTTCCCACCACTCAGGAAGAAAGACGTCTCCGTGGGGTTTGTGTGGATTCACAGCCCAGAGATAATCTTTGAATCCTGGCACCGGGTTGGTGTGGACTGTGAAAGATAAAGCACCATGGAGGGATTTTAATTTCACCCAATCGTAGTGATAGCCAATCGCTGAAAATTCCCATTGGGTGGTCAGGATCCAGACCTTTCTAGAGGTAGTGTGGTTCTCTTCTTCATAAGTGTAGAGGGATACTATAAGGCTTTGCAGAGAATTTGAATCCCCGGAGATAATCACAACCTGAGTATCACTGTTCAAAATTGTCCAAAGCAGATCTATTTGATCATTGTGCAACATATTGAACATTGAGATTCGGGGCAAGATCTGTTTGACAAATTGTATGCAAATGTCATTCTGGGCAAGGGTGGCATTAAAAATCTGGATGAAAGGGTCACTGCTCTCTGACTTCTGAACAATAATCCCAATCCAGTTCCACTGGAAATAGAGAAGGAGCTGGACAATGGCTGCATTCTGTAGGTGATACTGAGGATCGATCTGGTAGAAGGTGGGGAACCGGATCTTATCCCTCAAAACAGGGTCAGAGAAGCGGTAACCTAGCTAGAGGGAGGGTAGAGATGGAGGGAAAGGAAGAGGTTAAGCAAAGAAAAGGGTACCTGTACTTTTTGTTACTAACCTCAGACCATCTAGACTAGCAGGGTATTTTATTCCAGACCCCAACCCCCACAATATTGTATCTTCATGAGATGTTTTCTTCTGGTCACAGAATTGGCTTTGTAAGTTTTTGGCAGTAACCACACAACGCAGAATCTAATTCATTACATCTACATTCCCCCTTTCATCATATTGAGTGCCCATGTACCTGAGAAATCTTGAAACTGCCAAATACAGTTGACATACGGTATGAGGTTCTGGAGTTGAGACCCCCAAGGACAGAGAGAAGGTGGTCCTGTGTGTCGCACTTATAGTTAGGAAACAATTTTCCTCGGCTGGAGAGCAGAGACAGGCTGACATCTTCAGTCATGCTTGCATAGTGGTTCTCTTCATAGATGCGGAAGCCCAGGGTGATGTTGGGGAGAAACTGGGGGTCTTTGTTGATCTCCTGGATAGCAAATGCCAAGGCCAGGACATGTTGGTAGTTCTTGGGAACAGGTCTTTGTTGCAAGTGAAACGACAAAAATTAGAGGAGCTGGACGGAGATGTTTATTTTGTCATTTCATTACAAACACTCTAAGAGCTGATCATAAAACAGATGTCAGGTTCCGACTAATGGAACACTTCAAGGAAATTCCAGGCATATTTATTCTGAAAAAGTCTTTAATCATGGACACATTGTCGGCACATATTGAATGGATGCCAAAATCTGAATTTCTCTTGCTTGCGTCTAACTTTTCTTGCTAACCCCCCTCCCTTATTTTGCAGTCATAAGTCACATCTTCCAATTAGCCCAGAGGGCAAAGATTCACTTCCGTTCCTTTTCCCAGGCTTTCCTTATAAATCTCCTCCCTTTCTCTGTCATCTGAATTAACTCTAAAAATACCATACAGTTCTGTATATCTTGTCAAAGCAATAATATCCTATATTAACAGCGTTGACAACAGATCAATATAGATTAGCTAATTAGTTTTACTGCTGTCTGAAAACAGGGTTGCTGTCAATCAGTTGATTCTGTTATTATTGTCAGCAGTGTATGACAAAGCTTCCTCTCCCTAATTCTGCAGGACATTTCTATGAATTGATTGGAAGTTATCATTTATAGCAAGAGCTATAAATGCCCTTGTCACCTCAAGACTGGATTACTGTAACATGCTCTACATGGGGCTACCCTTGAAGAGCGTTCGGAGGCTGTAATTGGTTCAGAATGCAGCCGTGAGAGCGATTGTGGGTGCGCCAAGGTACGCCCACGTGTCACCTATCCTCCGCGAGCTGCACTGGTTTCCTGTGGGTCTCCGGACGCAATTCATGGCATAGGGCCAGGTTACTTACAGGACCGCATACTGCCGCACAGTTCCCAGAGACCGGTGAGGTCCCATAGATTGGGCCTCCTTTAGGTCCCGTCGGCCAGACAATGTCGGCTGGCGGGCCCTCAGGGAAGGGCCTTTTCTGTGGTGGCTCCGACCTGGTGGAATCAACTTCCCCCCGAGTTCGAACTACTCCCACCCTGCCGGCCTTTAAGAAAGCCGTTAAAACTCTCCTGTTCCGGCAGGCCTGGGGCTGATGTCCCCGGGGGGGGGGGGGATATGATCGGACTCGCAGTATGATTGTATTATTTTATTGTTTTATTGTTGATGATTGTTTTAATTTTGTACGCCGCCCTGAGTCCTTTGGGATTGGGCTGCATATAAATAAAATTAAATAAATAAATAAATAAGAGCTCACTTCAAGTCAGTATTGACTTTTAGTACAACTAAGGAAACGTGGCTTGTTATCCTGATAAATCTCTATACTTTATTATATCCAGTCATGGGAATCTTTACAGGCTGACAACGTCTGCACTACATTCTCAAACATTTTTCCCAATCTGTCACCCTATCATGTCATCATAATCACTTTGAATTAGGTGGCTTTATAAATCCAATAAATTAGATTAAATTGAATTAAACTGAATGTCTGACCAGATTGACTTTTACTGGCTAGAAATGATTATGCCGATATACCTGGATGGCGTATAGTTAGAAAAAGCACTTTTAGTGTCTCTGAATGTGGGACTCTTTCTGTTGGGGATTCCCAAAGGAGCTCGCTCCCCTGACTTAGAAGTGCCCAGGATTCAGATTGGTGGAAAGTCAGATTGGTGGGACAAAAGACAGACCTTCTCTACATGAAGGATGGTATTACAAATCATCAGAATAATGAGATGGGAAGATGACTTTAGTACAGCTATAAACAGAGGAATCTAGCGTTATTTCTCCCCAAATTCAGTGGTTTCTCTGCAATGGGCACCTTGCCTTCAGGAACACAGATAAAAAGTTGACTCCCTTGTGTGACAAGCTTTTCTTCACCACTGAAGAGTCAGAGGGCTTGAGAAAGGGATTAGAGCCGAGGTGGCGCAGCAGTTAGGGTGCAGTACTGCAGGCCACTTTAGCTGACTGTGTTCAGCAGGTCAGCGGTTCAAATCTCACCGGCTCAAGGTTGACTCAGCCTTCCATCCTTCCGGGGTAGGTCAAAGGAGGACCCAGATTGTTGGGGGCAATGTAAATATATATATACATTGCTTACTGATGTACACCGCTTAGAGAGTGTTCGCGCTTAAAGCGGTATATGAGTCTCATAAATAAATAATTAGGGAGAGGTTGATTCATCAAAGAAAATCAATGTCCTCACTAGGAAGGGTCTTCATCAACACAGGCTGGGTGGGATTTAAACCTGTCCATCTTCAAGCCTGCCCTTTCCATGTTGCCCTGAGAAAAAAGACAATCAAACACTTACAGAGAATAGGAATCCCAATCACCGGGAGGCTCAGGTAGGAGATGTACAACTACAGTAATAGAGAGAGGCAGGTTTCCACCAATGATAAGATCTCCAGGTCTGTAATAGTCTTTCTGTGCTGGGAAAGGTCTCCTCCAGAAGCAATTTGGCCTCAGGGCCATCTGGATGGCTGCAGGCAACGTCCAAAGCAAGACTAACAGTAAAATCATTGGTCATAGAGATTTTTTTCCTAGGAGAGTCCAAATGGAGCTTTAAATCTTCTGAATAAGCATTCATCTATGCTCCAAATGTAAAGGGACCCAGCTGTAACATTCAGAGCATGTAGATAAACATGTTTTGACTGGATACAAACTTCTTTGCACTTAGGGAGGGTTAGTCTCTGGAAATCCACTGAGATAAAGTAAGAATTGCTAGTGTTTGATGAACCCAAGGAGAGAGAAATAACCACATTATTCCTATCACTCTGGAGTCTGTAGCATTTTGGCAAGAGGAAAACCTATTTCTGAAGTGACAATTTGTGTCTCATTCTGTGCATTGGGCAACTGTGATTGGAGAGTGATTCAACTTTAGAGTTGGAAGAGAACTTGGGGGTCACTTGGTCCAATCCCCTTAATGTAGGACACACACAAGGCAAACTCTTAAATCTCTGAGATCTCTTTGGAATCGACCGTTTCTGCTGCCACCACTACCAAACTCTTTCCAGATTAAGAAGCTCCCTGGGGGCTTCCCGAAAGAACTCACCATGGCCTTTGTCCTAGCTGTGTTCCCCAAACTGGCCAATGAAGATGTGTTTCAGCTACAAGGAACCTGGATGGTTTTTAATAATGACACACTTTCTTCTTTTCTTCTTTCCTTTCTGCCCAACCTCCCTGTCACTTGAGTGGGTCATTAACATTTTAAACAAATATTTCAAAGCCAACCACTCTGTCTGATGGAGGATTTCCTGAGGCCAGAATCAAGAGCTTCCCTCAGGTGCACCAATCTGCTCTATCCTTCAGTCCCAACTATTTGTGGTTTGCACCAGGAGGGTTAACTTTCCTTGAGTGACAAGCATAATACCCCATCATCACCCTACCAGACAAATCCTCCATTTGCAGTGGCCCCAAGAGATGATAGATACCCAATTATACATCCTCTTTTCCTCCTCATCCATGTTGTGTTCCTGCCATCAAGCAGGGCATCCAGCTGGTCCTAGAAAGTTTAAAGGTTGGAGACCTGGCTATGCACTAGTTCCACTTAAGGACAGTTTCAGTCTGGGGTGATGGAAGATGAAAGGTCAGCCCAGGGGCTTAGCTATGTGGGGTGCTTCAGGGTCTGCCCTCTCTCCCACCCCTCTCTATCCCTAAGCATTCTTGTAAGTTCAGGAAACATTTAAGACTGTCACACAACTGTCAATGCTGCAAATATTGTATATTCTTGCTTTTGACAATATATAGAATTGTCTGGTAATTATGGGGTTAATACAGAGCAGAAGGGGGGGTTGGGGGTAAAGCCCGGGAAAGAAAAAGGAAGAAAACATTTGACCTTCACACTAATTGGGTAATGTGAGATGTGACGGCTAATTTAGGGAGGAAACATGCTGATAATTTAACTGCTCAGAGGAAAAGAACTTAGATCCTAGCATCCCTCCGTTGTGCCTGTGCTGACATTTTGTAACAATAAAAAGACTTTTAGGAAAATAAATGCCTGGAAGTTCTTTGGAATGTTTCATTAGCCGGAACCACCACAACAACATTGTCTTCCTTCCTCTCTGACCAAGACTGAACAATTTTTGAACTATTCCATTAATTAACACCCATCAATCCATCCCCATAATACAGTGAGAGCATAAAAAAAAATAGCAGGTACTAGAGAAGGTCCCTTAATATCCACTTCACATGATCTGGTTTATTAATGAAGCATGTTTATCTAGTCATAATGAAGAGAACACTCTATATAATTTAATGTGAGAGTGAAAGTTTGTTCTCCAAGCTTGTGCGTTGGTTTCCAAACATTTCCTTACTAGGCTAGGTAACATCTTCAGCAGAGTTTAGGAGATGTCAATTGTTATGTCTGGGCCTGCTGAGTGATTCAGCAGGTGTAGGAAGCTGCAGAGAGGCCCGGGCAGACTACGTGGATGCCTGGGACCAGACAGGCTGTCTCCAGCCTATTGCGCATGCGCAAGGCAGGAGAATCCGTTGTGTTGATTGCCTGACACTGTCCCTGCAAAGGGGTATAAGAGGAATCCATGCCATTTTGTATTGGTTCTGTTGTGTTCTGAATAAAGAGAAGACTGTTGTTACTCCTGCCTTGTCTCAATGCCTTTACATGGAAAACAGAACATCAGTGTTCTTCTGTTTATATGGGTGTGTCAAGTGATGTTTTTGTGATGGGTCTTGTGGTGGGTCAGGTGTGAGTCATAAATGAGGGGCTTGTGATGGGTCTTGTGATGGGGAGGTTACATTAGGTAAGGGTCCTTAGAAGGTGAACTGCTGGTGGGGGGAAGGGGCTTGCATGGGTTGGCTGAGGGTCGATGCTGTCTCTGGTTAGCTGTGTGGTTGATTTAGATCCTAAGGGGTTTGTACATTGGTTGTAGGTCAGTGTGTTTGTTGATGGAATTGCTTGTGGCATGCCAGGCTTCGAGGAACTCACAAGCGTGGAAGGGATTAGTGTGGCCAATAATTTTAGTGTTGTTCCAATTGAATTGATGTTGGTATGGATAGAGAATAAATTAAT